ACTGTGTAGGTAGATTAAATGCCCACTCAGCCATGTCCCAATTCCCAAATTAATCATGATTTATGTAAGAAATAAAGCAAGCTCAGCACTAGTCATGCTTCCTCTAATTACTCTCCATCCAAACTGGCTGAATTCATCACCAATTTTCCTTTGGTCTAATAAAAAGAACATCAAATGTAGGAATAAACTATTTCTAATGCTCCTGTTTGGAAGCAGGAGTGGCATCCACTTTCTAAATAACATATCTCTGCAAACTCTATGAACTTTGATAAATGACAATAGTTACAGAAAGGCTTCAGGCTTTTTGTTCATAGGGTCACTAACAACAATAAAACAACACCTCTGTTTCATCCATCTAACAGCTATTACCTCCAAGCCTCTCTGATCTTGCATTCTTTCTGTTAATGTTGACTCAGTTGCCAGCTGGAAAGAAAATCCTGGGCTGCAAGTCACCCTTTCCCTGTATTCTCAAGAGCTCAGGGCTTGGCCACTAGAAAACAGACAGTTTAAGTGCTAGCTACCTGACTGGAAGCAAAGACATTTGACTGTGAGAAGAATGGGAATCCCAGAACACTTAATTGTGCTTATGCGAAACCTATACTCGGGCCAGGAGGCAGTTGTCAGAACAGAGCAAGGAAACACTGCATGGTTCAAAATTGGGGAGGGTGTGCATCAAGGATATGTCCTATCTCTGTATCTTTTCAATTTATATGCAGAACATATAATCTGGGAGGCTGGGCTCTATGAGGGGAAGTGTGGTATCAGGATTGGAAGTAGACTCATCAACAATCTGCATTACGCAAATGACACAATCCTGCTTGCTGAAACTGAGGAGGACCTGAAGTGCTTGCTGCAGAAAGTCAAGGACTGCAGCCTTTACTATGGATTGAAGCTTAACATCAAGAAAACAAAGATTGTCACTGCTGGGCCAATTGGCAGCATCATGATGGATGATGAAGAGACTGAGATTGTTGACAGCTTCAGTTTGCTCAGCTCTGCAATCAACACTCTTGGTACCAGCAGCCAGGAAATTAAAAATATGAATTGTATTGGGAAAGTCTGCTGTCAGAGACCTCTCCAAAGTGCTGAAGAGTAATGCACCTGATACACCTGATGCACCTGATACAGGCCATGGTCTTTGCAATTACTTGCTGTGCATCAGAGAACTGGTCAATGACCAGGGATAATAGAGGGAGAGTTCATGCCCTTGAGTTTTTGTGCTGAAGAAGAGAATTGAATATAGAATGGACTGCTTGGAGAACAAACAAGTTTGTCCTGGAGAGGGTGTAGCCAGGCTGCTTCTTGGAGGCAAGGCTTCTGAAGCTCTGTCTGACATACTTTGGACATGCTGCAAGGCAGAATCAGTCCTCGGAGAGAGACGTCATGCTTGGGAGGATGGAGAGACAGTGCAGGAGAGGAAGGCCCTCTATGAGATGGATTGATTCAGTCACTGGAATAATGGAGATAGGCGTATTGGAAACAGTAAGATTGGCAAGGGATAGAGCAGGGTTTAGGGCTATTGTACATTGGGTTGTTATGAGTCACAGGTGACTTGATAGCACTTAACAACAACCTGATTGGCCTAGGCTGCACTTTTCCACCCAGATTCCAGGGGAGAGTTGGAAGCCTGAGGACCACCTCTCCAGTGTTCTGAGGCATCTTGAGATTGACTATTCAGCATAATGGTGTTTCTAATGCATCAATGCTGCCCATGAAACCCATCCCCCAAGACCAGTTGTACATCGGAGGATGGCTCTAACATCAGGCCTCGATCCTTAATTTTTAGCAAGAATAAAAAAAAAATAAAGCTGTTTATTCACTGACTCCCTATGTTTTTAACTGGATTTTTCTGATGTTTTATCTTCATGTGTCGTTCTCAGGCTTGGAAAATGGGTACATCTCAGTCTCTCTTTGTCTATCTTTGCCTATTTCTCTTCACATTTCTCTCTTCCATTTCTTGATACTTCTGTTTGTTTGGTTTTTAGAAATGTGCATGGGTTTGCCTTGTGAGAAATCCTTGTCAGCCCTGCCAGAAGGTATACTGCTCCTTCTTACCTTTACCACGGGTCCATAAAGAAAGGTCACATGACTACCAAAGTAATAATACTTTACATCTTCACATGCAAAAACAAAACACTAATTGTAAAGGTTTACCAAGCATAATTGATTGGTGCTTCTAAAACATTCTCCTTCTAGTGTTAAGTTCTATAGATATTAAAAACCAAATGTCAAAGTCATTGCTGTGAGGTCAGAATTGACTAATAGCCAACCCTCCAGTAGGTTTCCAAATTTTTAATCACATGAGAGGCAATTACATATCTTTCTCTCATGGAAAGAATCTTCTGGTATATCTCATGGGTATGTTGTTGTTGTTGTTAAGTGGCGTTAAGTTGCAGGTGACTCATAGCGACCCTATGAACGAAGTCCTGGACACTTCCTGTATAACTTTTGTCCCTTCTCCAGGTTCACAGGGTTTCCAGAGGCAAGCTACTGTGGAAGTGCATGCCACTCCTGCTTCTAAGCTTGTTTTAATCAGGGAGCTTCACCAAACACTGTCCACCATGGGTAACAGTATTTGGCTTCACAGCAACCACAAGTTACCTCTGTACAGCAAGTGGACATACCAGGGTTACACGACCTTTAGTGCATTTAAAGAAAACAAAAAAACAAAAAAAACCAAAAAACAAGCAAACAAACCAAAAAACGCCCACCAAACTTTTAATGCCACTAGGATCAAAATTCCAACCTATTCATACAACATGTCAGGACTAAAATATCTTCACCCTTCTATATACAATGATTTTAACCAAGATGTCCTAAGTGCTCTCTTTTCCTAGACATGTAGGCTATTTTATAAAATCCTTCTCCTAAAAGTAACATTTTCTGTGTTCTTGTTATCTCTGCCTGCACATGACCATTTTAAAGTACTTGAGAAAGATGCTCCAGACATTTTAATTAACTTGAAATTTTATTTTTATCTTTCAAATGTACTTTTCATACAACACTAAGATAAATTCTAGAACCTCACTCCTTAATATGGTATTAAAGATTCTAAGCAAGTGTCTTTTTTATAGACAATATAATTACAAGTGAATTACAAATGTACACTTTATGATTCCTATTAAACTCTGGCCATAATCCATTAAATACAGATTACATATATTAAATTAGATGTGAGGAAAAACAACACAACATGGTTTCAACTAAGAAAATAAATGAGAAACAACAACTTCAAATAATTGGTCTAAAATTTTATCAATGAACTTAAAATAATTTCTTTAATCAGAGAAAATGCTTTACATTCATACGCATGTGCATCAGTACTACATTCTACTCTGGGAGAGACTCTATATTTCCATTGTATAGTATGTATAAGCTTCACGAACATTGAAATCTAAGTGATAAAAGTTTAATTTTAGGAATTTTATTTTTAAGAATCAAAGTGACTAAGAATGAATTGTTAGCAAATAAAAATGTCAACATTGTAAAATCTCTTTAAGAGAGCAGCTCTTAAGATAAATGTCATCAAGGACATTACATTTCAGCTCTGACACTTAGGAGATTCGTGTATGACCGAAGTTTCTTTATCTAATATTTTCAATCAATATTTCCTTAAGGATTGGGTTGTATTATTAAAGGTAGCTGGTTGAATATCATGCATGTAAAGTTCAGTTTGACCAGACTTTTACTATCATCTTCCAACTCTAACTTCACTAGCTGAAAAAATTAATAAGAAATTATATAAACTTTATGCTAACATCTCTGACATGGGCAAACACACGATCTCCAATTCACTTGAGAAACGCAAACTGATACAAAGCTTCCTTGAGCGTAAATATACTTGGGACAGAGAAGAGTGTTAAGAAGAGAAAACAAAAAGTGTTTCCAATAATAGATATTAAATTCTAACAGTTTCTCTTAGCATTATGTAAAAGAGAATAAAATAATTTAGTAGAATTATTCTAATAATTTTAGGAGCTTTTGATGTTTCTAGGAGAAAGGAACATTGTTTACAAATAACATTTTTTAAAAGTATTGAAAGAGAATTCCCATTGGAAAGGCTATACAATAGACACAGACACCACCACCACAGTTTGCCCTGCATGAGACAAGGATATATGAAAGATTAGAAAGAATTATTGAAAAACAGGAAAACAACAACAAAAAACCTGTTATGCTCCTGGTTGTTGAGTACTGTAGAATGGGAACTGACCCATAGCTGACCCTCTGGCAAGTTTTCAAAGGCAGCTTAGTAGCACAGGAAGAGATTTCCCATCCTTCTCCTGCAGAGCAGCTGGTGGCCTCAAACTGTGAGCCTTCTGGATTGCACCACAGCTTCTTGCCACTAGGCTAGGCCACCAGCGCTCATCCCTATTTAAAACGTGGAGATACATCTAATTGTGGTAGATTCAGCCTGAAACAATGCACTTAATAAAATATCAATTTATTTCACCTCTACTTCATGAAAGGTTTCACAAGGTCACCAGTGACCTGCTAAATGCTCTCTAGTTATGAATGGCAACTTTCTTATGAAGGAAAGAGATAAAGTAAGTTACTTTTCTGTCAAAAGGTTCACCTCAGGAGAGGCTGAGCATTAAAAAACAAAACTAAACAAAACAGTGACATTCCTATTAACAATATAAAAATAATGATAATAAAAGAATGTGTTTCAGAAATGTTTGTGGTTATTGGACTGTGCATACTCCCTCCTAGAAATGCGTGGAAAAGAAAAGCACTCAGAATAATGTTGTTATTGTTTTTAGGTGCCATCTAGTCTCCTGTGACTCACTGTAACTTTATGAACATGATCAATGATCCCCTCCCATGCTCAAGGCCATCTTTGCAATCAATGTGTCAATCTAATTTAACATACAAGCTGATGGAAAGTGCTTTTAAAGGGCCAGGCAATAATTTTGAATTTTTGAGTTTGAGTTGTCTTGAGCACCCAAGTTCCAAGATTTGTCTGTGGAAGTGAAATAAAAAATAAACATAAGCCTTACCGCTTCCACTTCAGCAGGGTCATACCAGACATTGATGTACGGATGCTGTAAGGCATCGTCCACGGATATTCTTTTTGCTGGATCTATCACTAACATCTTTGACAACAAATCCCTGGCTTGGCTGGCTGAAACAACAGATGAAAAAAAAGTATTAGTAAAATTTGGATTTGTGCAAACATTATTTTGGGGATAAAAGGAAGGTCAAAAAGAATGTTTCTTGTACAAAATATAAGGTGAAATATGAAATACTACATGTTTTGGAAAAGGAAATTCTGTCTGTATGTTTGTGGTTTAAGCTTCAGGTTTCATTTGGGATTCTTTAAAGTTTATGGTGCTTTGAGTATATAACACTTATCAATCTAAATAAAATTCAGTGTAATGTCTTTGGGTAATCTGTATGAACATAAAACAGAAAAAGAGCATAAAAAATGCAAATAAATGCATAATGCTCAAGAAATGCATGATTAAGTGTTTAGAATATTACGAATTTTTGTAGTTTTATCTTTTCATTGATACAACGGCATTAACAAAATCTGAGTAATCAAGTTTACTTTGTAGTTATATAGCCCCAATACTTTTATACACAGAAAAAACCAAAATTTGAAGAGGACTTTCAATTATTGAATTTCACTTTAATATCTCAGTAATAATCAGGCATTTTTAAATCAATGAGGTATTATTTTTGATGAATTAAGTTAGCTAATGACTGAAGCCAATTCGATGTTACCCTTGTTGCTACTTTAATAAATCCTCTAATATGGACACTGTTATAATTATTAATTTTATTGTTGTAGGCAACAGTGGTTGCAAAATCTTATTGTGATAATAAGTGAGTTTATTTCAAAATGATAACAGATACTTCTTGAATTTAACCTCTAAAAATTATATCATTTTATATAAATGTAACTTTTAACTGTTAAATAAGAAATAGTATTCAAACAGATTTTTAAAGTTAAGTGATGAAAATACTCAATTCTTTTCCAGATTCATGGCAAAGTTTTAAATTAAGGTAAAACCTAAATAAATTTCTTAAATTAGAAAAAGTAATTATGTTTCAACACATGGAAATGTGCTAATTTTCAGATTATTAAAATATGGACTAACAATGAAAAATTTGTAAATTGCCTAAAATATAAATTAGGAAAGAACTATCATCCTCATCATTTAGAAACAATTACTTTGTTGTAAATCTATTTTCTTCTAGTCTTATTTATGCTTTCCCCCCTTGTTTTAAGAATGCACTATATACAAAACAATCAGTTCATATTGAACTAAAACTACAGACATCCCAGGATCAAAAAGCATTTTAAAATGTTCTTTTAAGCAATTATCCAATACAGACAATATTAAACTAACTATTGAAGAAATGTTGATCTCAGTGAAACAGGGAATCAGCAGATTACAACAAAATACACACAATATAAAAATTAACAGCATTTCCCTTTCTAGTACGGGCCAGGAAAGTTTATAAGGCATTATTAGGAGGAGCTAAGAATCCCTGACACTGTGCTTCAGGCTGGGGGAACTCGATCAGGGTCCCCAAATGCTGTGTGGAAGGCAGCTGGTTACCCAAACTCCAGACTGGGGGATCACAGACTATACACTGACTGAGGTTTAGCTCATCAATAACTTAGCATCCACCTTAATAACGCATTTTAATATAATTTTGATCATCTCTCATTCTCTCACTTCCATTGAGTCACAGCCAGTATATAAAGCTAACTTTCTGGAGGCTTTTCTGAGGCTATTAATCACAGAGGAGGAGACTACCTCCCTTTCTCCCTCTGAGCAAGTGGGGGATTAGAACCGTCTATCTTTAGGATGACTGTGCAACTCCTTACTTATTAGACCACCAGGATTCATCTCTTCAAAATTTTCATATGCTCTGTGATAAATTTTCTTGCATTGTTACCTTTTTATTAATTTAGTATCAGTGTTTTGCTCTTTCTAGAAATTATTAGTTTAATTAGTTTGAAAAGCTTTTTTGATTTCTATTGTCATTTTTCTTAAAAACTGAATTCTAGAAATTTGAGACCTGCCACTTCCAAATGGCAACTGTGAAGCTCACAAGAATAATGAAAATACAGAAATAATAATTATTAATATTTTTCCACTTAGTCTTTATTATTGCCGATCATCAATATCCCCAGAAAGATCAATTCATTTTCTTGGTTGTAAAACCTGTTTAATTTGTAAATAACTTTATGCCAAGAATCAAGCACTCCTCTTCCCATAGATTCTTCCCTCATACCCAGTCTTAGGTTCTTCTTTTAGAAAAGGTGAAGGAAGGATCTTCACCAAAAAAAGAAAACATTTATATGAACACTTAAAACTACAATAAAATCAGAACTGAAAAACAATAATTCTGTCTGCTGGGAATAAAAAGGAGAAGGAAAAAGTTCTATGGTTTATCTTTCATTCGTCTTTTTAGACTTTCTAATGTCCTTTGCTCAGAATTAGTCTTATTGCCCACTTATATTGAAACTTCCAACCACATGGTTTTGTCTTCATCATTGCTGTTGATGCTCTTACACATTACCTCCAAATTTTCTCATGCTTGAGCTATATTATGGTGGCAAACAGTGTCAACAAATTTTTATATATCAATAATTTTTTGAGAATAAAATAACTACTAAAGGAAAGGGAGAAATTTTAAAAAATAATAAAAAGGAAAGGGAGAAATAATTTAAAAGGTTTCTGCTCCATTACTGATAATATTATAGATAATAATCCTGTAATTCGATGTAGAAAGATTTTAGAAAACAATTTTATTGCTGTTATATGTATAATTATTCTGGTATTCTTTACTTTCAGTCAGGATCCATCTGATCTCAGCAATGGTATCCCTAGTGCCACAGCCTCTTCTAAAACCTATACGAACTTCTGGCAATTCCCTATCTATGTACTGTTTCAGCCATTTTTGAATGATCTTCAGCAGTATTTTTCTTGAATGTGCTATCAATGATATTGTACAATAACTTCCACATTCACCTGGATCACCCTTCTTGGGAATAGGAACAAATATGGACCTCTTCCAATCTGTTAGCCAGATGGTCATCCTCCAGATTTCCTGACATAGATTGGTGAGTGCATCCAAGGCTTCATCTCTTATTTGAAATAAATCAGTTGATATCCCTTCAACTGCTGGGGCCTTATTTTTTTGCCAATGCCTTTAATGCAGCTTTCACCTCCTCTTTCATTACCATTGGCTACTGTTCATGATGTACTTCCTGAAATTTTTCAGTGTCAATCAATTCTTTCTGATACAGTGATTCTGTGTATTCCCTCCATCTTCTTTTGATGCTTTCTGGGTCATTCAATATATTGCCCATAGCATCTATCAACATTGTGACATGAGGCTCAAGTTTGTTTTTCAGTGCTTTATTGACTATGCAAATGCATTTGACTGTGTGCATCATGACAAGTTGTGGCTGAACACTGAGAAAAATGGGAATCTAAAAGCACTTGATTATGCTCATGAGGAACCTATGCCTGGAGCAGGAGGCTGCTGTGTGAACAGAGCAGTGCAGCACTGCATGGTTTGGAATTGGGAAGAGAGTGTGTCAGGGATGTATTCTATCTCCAAACCTGTTTCATTTATACGCTGAGCAAATTTTCTGAGAAGATGGACTCTATGAAGAGGAATGTGGTATCAGGATTGGAGGAAGACTAATCAATTAGGCAGATGACACAACCTCACTTGCTGAAAGTGAGGAGGGCTTGAAGCACTTGTTGCAGAAGATCAAGGAATTGAGCCTTCTGTGTGGATTGTGTCTTAATATCAAGAAAACATAGATTCTTACCACTGGACCAATAGATAGTGTCATGATGGATGGAGAGAAGATTGAAACTGTCAACAGCTTCATCTTGTTTGGATCCACAGTTAACACCCTTGGTATGAGAAGTCAGGAAGTGAGGAGACTCACTGCACTTGGGAAATCTGCAGTTGGGGAACTTTACAAATTATTGAGGAGCAGTGATGTCAGTTTGAGGACTAATGTACATTTGATTAAAGCCATGGCCTTTCTGATTGTTGTTGTTGTTGTTGTTATGTGCCGATGAGTCGTTTCTGACTCGTAGCGACCCTATGCACAACAGCCCTAAACCCTGCTCTATCCTGCGCCAACAGCACCGCCTCTGACACACCCATCCCGATTACCCCAGTCACTGAATCAATCCATCTCATAGAGGGTCTTCCCCT